GTTTACTTTTGCATAAGAAATTGCCCAATGCATTCTTCGCTTGACATTCCAATCAGTTGCTGTCGCAGTCATTGCTTCGCCTTTGCGGTGATGCTGCAACTTTTTTTTTTACTTACTGTTTACATTGCTTAACCTACTAATTAGGTTGCACTGCCCTGCGGTAACACTGAACCGCAGGGTTATGACCTCACTAAAATGTACTTTTGAGCAGCAGGAGCTATGCAAGCTGCTTGTTCCTCTCAACTTCGTGATAAAAAATAAAAAAGCTATTATAATATTATTCTCATTACTGAGAAATCTTAAACAAAGTTATACCTGAACACGAAAACGTGCACATTACGGGTATTTTAGTGGCTGTTGAATGTTGGAATGCACAAAGACATATGCAGACAAGAACAAATACCTGAATACAAAACACGTACGTTTGTTAGTGTTAAAACTTGAAAGCGCGTTGTAATAGACGCAAGCGTATATACTTTACGTGGTCGCTGTCTCTGAAGGATGCTCCCTCCGTTCAAGTGAGGAATCTCTCCTTTCAAAAGGCCCTTTGAATGTTCACGAGGCTCTCTCAAAACCGGAGTTCATCGGATATATTTGTAATTTAAAAATTTCATCGGTCAGTGCTTATCGGATTTTTTTTTCGGTTTTATCTGAAGACACGAAGTGCTAGTTTTAATTGAAGGCTCTAAAAAATGACAACTTTCTTATGGGCAGCAAGCAAGTATCCTCCATCCTCCCTGCGGCCTCCGTCTAAGAGTTGGTTTCCGCCAAAACAGACACAGTAACGTCAGAAAAACGAGAGAAGACGACTATGATAACATGGCTTCACTAAATTTTATACACGACGCAGGTTCGCATGCTTGAGTTCATCCTACGTGTTAAGATGGACTTCGCATAAAATAAATCATGACAAAAGTCAGAAACTGCGGGCGCGGTTTAGAGAAAATTATTTCACACGCTCAAGGAAAAGACCACTGTATCATATTCTCAAACGCGGAGACAAGATCGCGTGAATAGGTTGCTCTTGTCAGAAGTAATCGCCGGGCAATACATTTTGACGCAAATCGTGGTTCGCGCATACGTCTGCCCTCCAGCGCGTATCTTCCAGACGGTGCCGTCGCCAGCTGACAAGCCACACGCTGTTTTTGCTATCACGTACCGTTCCCACGTTGCACCGTTACGACGATGAAGTCAGCCTGCCAGCCAGCGCGGGCGCAATCGCATCCGGCAGGCTCCGCGTCCCGCCTTAGGACACTGCAAACTCTTTTCGGGGCCAAGTGTGTGACGTCGTACGCCGGATCGGAGTGCGTCCTCAAGCAGCCGTCGCTTCGAGGGACGAGAAGATGCGCGTCTACGTGGAAGCAAAACACGTGACGTATAGGTCGTCTCGAACGTTGACTACCCGGCTCATGCCACGCCAGCGGTCGTTCCGGGTCACCCTCTCCCTCAAGCCGCGTTTCCCACGTCGTCGACGGCTGCTATAGCACCGACTGATTTCGCGAGCGACGCGTCATACCGCCACTCGAGACGGGGTGGTTATGCTCCACTGGCGCTCAGTAAAAACCAGCTGATGTCCCTGAACTCGGCTGCGCGCAGCAGAAAACGCTCGTTTTGTAGGAGGCCATCGTTGCATCGAGAACGTATGCGAGCACGCAACGCTGCCGACACGTCAGCTTGCGTTTTCTCCAACGGCGGACAGGCCCGCGTGCCTGGCAAATTGTCCTGACAGAGAACTCGCCGTAGCGCAATAGCTTTAAAAGGAGATGGCTGAACAAACACGAATCGCCTTTTTCACGGTTTCCGTTGCACTTGGCCACGCTTCTATATTTCTGGCATGGTCGCTGTCGACAGTTCTGTTTTGTTACGCATGGTTTGCTGTGGTAAATTTGCGGTCACCCGAGTTTTATAGGCAGCAAGAGATTAACGCATAAGGGAATATTTGTGTTACAACTAAATAGAAAATGTCAAGGACATTAAGAAAGGGAACATGCCGACATTATAAGGCAGAATTCTTGTAAGAACCTTGACTGGAAAGTTCACATAAGTCCACCTCTTTTCAATCTTCCGCACTATTGACGGACACACTAATTTTGCAATAAAATTTATTAACACGTATAGTGCTTTTAGTAAAATATAACTGTGTCGGTACCTGCGGTAGCGGTCTTCAAATTACGAGATAAATGCTGGAATTGAGCGAGATTTTTCTTAGATCAAAATGTTTCGTATACTTTCCCTATTCTGTTCATCTCCCTTGTATCACCGATTGGTTGGCCTTGGAAATACAGGAAAGTGGGGGGGAAGGGGGAGACCACCATGAAACTAACATAATTTGCATCAGGAACGAAAGGTTAGGAGAATCATGATGAAATAGAGTTATGAATTTCGGTATTATAACCATTAAATCCCCACATATAGAAAAGGAACCAGCAAGCTTCCCTCAGCGACAACTTTCACAGTGAATACTTAGCATACACGAAAGTCGTAAGAAAATAAATATCACTTCATCATGATCATCACTTGTCCTTTCATATTGAAGGTTCGCGTTGTACAACAAAGCACTCGAAGGTCAACAGCACTGGTAAAATGAGAAAGCAGCACTGAATGAGTCTCCTATAGCACGACTTTTTTTACGCTTCGGGGATAGAATTCTCAAATTTATTCTTACTTTGACTCCACAATGATACAACTCATCAAATGCATGTGCATGTGCATTAAACATTATCGTAGGAATCGCTCAGTGCCCTCTTTCTTTCTTTTTTACAATAAAGAAGCGCTAGAGAAAATAACAGGAAACGAACAAACTGGGGTGTTACGATTTCACCCTATAGTAGGATATGACATCCTGAGAGTAGGTGTATCCGCTGAGCAGCAGGTTCTTGAGTACCTGACTTTCTGAATCAGGACTTCCACAGCTTTAAGGACACACTAGAGGCAAACTGTACTATTCATTCACTTTTATTTGCTATTTTGTTGCAATTTCCACATCTCGTGGAAACCACACGTATTCACACCAATATTTTTTATGTTTTTCTTATGTATTGTGCGCTTATATTATCTAGAAAATAAAAGTAATAGTGATTGGTTTCTTCTCTCTTATGGTGAACATTATTTAGTAGAGAAACGTAAGAACGCTTGTGTACGCTGCTTCGGGTTCGCGACGTAAAGTGGTGTATTGGGCGGGCTGGTAGAGATTCATGGCTGGAGTTAGCACGTGGAAAATGTGCGTTATTCTCTTTGTCCTGGGTTCCCGACTTCCCGTTGAAGATATATGCGGCGTACTCGAAAACCATCCATATAATCACTCTCCCTGATTGCCCTTCCCCCTCACATGATGTGCCGCACAATCAAATTTGTCTTGCTTTCACAGAAAAAAAAATTGCAAGAAATAAATAATTAGCATTTCAATGATGTAGCAGTACATCACTGTCGAAAAATTCCAAAGAAGATTTTTTCATATCAAGAGCTGTGATATGATCCGCAATGAACATGTTCATGACGTCGTCTATTCGTTGTGTACAGATGTCAATCACTGTCTAGAACAGGCGCTTCAAAGAACCTACTCACGATTGCATGGCCAATGCACATCATCAGAATCGAGCTTAGCGCACTTCACACATACAAGACCACGTGTTCAGACTCCACTCACTGTAAGCTTTTGAGATCGAAAAATAAATTGTCGAAAGATCGTAATCTCTCTGTACATACGCTATACTTGTGTGTCACGTTTTACCAGACCTACGAGTACTCCATAAGGATGACCCGCACCGAAAACTGTGGTCACTGCGGCGACGAAGAAACTATTACGCATGTCCTGCGCCAAAATTAACTCGACAGTACACGGAAAATTTTTCTCCTTTTATCCCTAGCAACTACGACAACTAGCTTCTATCGCAAGCAATAAATATATGTCACCACGGAAACATTCAACTCCACAGGAGAACGCTGTGCAAGCGCCACCAATTTATTCGCGGTCCACCGGTCCGTATGAACGCTTGTCAGTGGAACAACGTTACGGTTTTTCCTTTTCCACAATCGTCATCTGTTTCTTTCTTTCCAACTCATAAATTCCACAACATCACACGGTAGCGAACCACAACTGCAATTTAGTTAACCTCCCTTTTTTTTCCTTTTCTCAGTCTGTCTCATATTTATAGTATCAAATGAGCCATCTCCACTGTTTCAATATAGCGCGTAAGTTCTTTTCAAAATATTTCTGTGAAAGTTAAACCATTTTTATATTAACATATTATTGCAGACCAACAAATAGAGAATGTAGGTTCAACCAAACTGTCAGCTTTCTTTCTGAAGTCAGTCAAGCATAGCTTCACTACTACCTTCACTGTCCTATCAGCCATACACCCACTGTTTTAACTGCTGCGTGTAGTTAAATTTAAAGTCTCCTGAGTCTCGTGAAATTACCTTTTTGTCCACGGTAAACTATTATTTACTTTTTTATTTATTTCGTACAAAAGAGAGCGTATGCTGCTTGCGTCAACAAAAACAACAAAAACAAGCTAAATAAGAAAAGCTAGGTCCCTGATAGTAGCCATTCTAACAGGTCCGAATCCAGCCCCGACACGAGCTCCCGAATAAACGAAAGCGAAAAAAAGCAGAAGCTCGAAGAGCTCTTGCGCCCAAATATCTAGATCTCTAAAACCGCCGCATCAAAGTGAAGTGAAAGTTTTGAACTCCGCGGCACCTCTTTAAGATTCTACCGCCTTGACAGCATACCGACACGGCTTCTCAGAGAGTTGCTCGCCAAAGTAGGCAAGAGTCGTTCCCCGGCATCGTGTCTTGACTTTTCTTTCGTAAATTTTTCTATCTTCGGTCTTGGCTTCACAAACGCTCAGCCACTACATCCTACCGCCACCGACGGCGTGACGTCAGCGGTCGATGGCGGGACGTCCGCCATTGGGGCCAACGGTGGGTGTCACGTGATTCGATTCGTCCTTCCTCCCCCTCTTCTCATCTCTCTCTCTCTCTCATCCGGCCCGGCTTGTTATTACAGTCAACCGGCGAGCAGACGCCGGAGCAGTGCGGGCTTGGACTGTTCGCGGGACCTGACGGAGAAAACACCCTTCTGTAGACTCGTCGGAGGACTTCTGTTTTTCTTTTCGTCTGCGGCGCCGAAGAGCGCGCGTTGCGTGTTGTGTGTGAGTTTTGTCGTCATCACCCGGCAACATCGTGCGAGGCCTTTGGAAAGCAAGGAACGTGTTTGGGGGCATACACAACCGGCAAAGGATCGAGCCGTAAGTGTTGTCGCTATTCTGAAAGCAGCCTTTTCCTTCGATGCTCAGCCGCGACTGGTTTCTAACGCCGCTCAGCCGGTCAGGAAAGAGATGGGGGCGTGGGCGCTGCTTTGCGTTCGCCCGGCTGCAAATCAAAATATGCGCGCACGTGGTCGTTCGTCGTCGAGGAAAAGCTTGCGCCGGTGAAGGCGAGTGGCCGGTTCTCCACCGGGTCGACGACGTTTGTGGCCGTCTTCGAGGATATTCACGAAGATGAGCTGGTGAATCTGAGCCGCGCTTAATGCCACGGCTGCGTTCCCGCGGGAAGCATTTTGAGAGATGACAGTTGAGAGGTAGACATTCGAGCCCTTGGCAATTGTTTGCACTTATCTGGCGTTGTTGACACGTATGTCAATAGTGAGAAATTACCACATTCATCGCGATACTGTCAACAGATGTCGCCGCCGGCGAGTTGCACTCACCACCCCTGTTAACGCAAAAGTGGCACGTTGAACAAGTTCACCGTAGAATTTTGCCTGACTGTGCATAGAGATGATGGGAGTCCAAGCGCCGCTGAAGTAATGAGAGGCTGCAGACAATACCTTAAGCACGCACATGGTTGGGTGCTGTATTTCTTGTTTCTTGATGCTATTTTTTATATTCCCTCTGAAGATAGATAATTGAAGCTCTGCTGCTGCTTTTCTTGTTGCTTTAACTGATTTGAGGTCTATCGTGCACTTAAATGTGTTGCGAATACGCAAGGCGTCACAGAAATAGTTCTGAAATAAATGATCCGGTGCGATTGGACATTCTTTTGTGCTACAAAAAACAACCACACTCAAAACAATCTAACGAGTGTTATCTTTCCTCCTTAGAAAATTTTTTTTCTAGGAGATATTACCAAATACTTATACTGTGCACTTGTTCGAAAAATCAACATGGGCCGTCGCTAGCATCTACGTTTCTAAGAGTCGTTTTGTCTTCTTCCAAGCTCCCCTTGTTAAAGGACTCTTCACCTCTTTAAGCTTCTATCTTTCTCTGCACATTTGCCTCATTTATATGCGCAAATATTCAGAACACTGCAAGCCGTTTTCTTGCAGTACCTGCAATGACGAACTCGTGTTTTGAGTTCACTGATTAATGAACCCTCACTTTCTCACAGGTATCAGAATGCTTCAATAAAAATTTCGTAGACAGACCCCCTATCTCACCTTATTTTCTTTTTATTTGAGTCGTGCCTTGAATAAAGAAAGTGCATAAATATCGACGTATTAAAGCAGTTTCTTGCTTTTCATTTCCTTGCTGAAGTATAACTAGTTTGGAAGAGGTGACATTTCCTGAATACGCAAAATACGTTGACGCTTTTTTCAAAGTGCAAGCAGTCGAAGTTTACTTGAACTGTAATTAGTAACGGGTTGTGCTCGTGCATTTACAGTGGTATCATTACAAGAACGCAGCGCGAAACGATTGTTAGATCTGCGTTGCGATTGTTAGCTCGTCACAATAAATTCACGTGTAACTTCAAGTGCCATACGTGTCACTTTACTTTCGGAAAGCGTGCTCATGACTTCTAAATATTTGACTTGCTCTCCGATTTTTTTCAATGCTTGTTAAGCTTCACCGTTGAGCTTTTGCGTAGTGAGGTGAAGCCTGCCTGCTTGTTATTGCAGCATTGTTCTTTGTTTTGAAAATGTCCGACGTGAAGTGACGCGGCGTTGGTTGGCATAGCACGAAGCGAGTGATCGACAATTTCTTAAATATGTGCATGGAATTTCCATTGTGAGGACTAAGGCTTATATGTTAAAAATAGCAATCAGCTATGTCTCGTGGAATAAAGACCGCACTAGTAAAGACCTTCACTAAACATGTTACGGTAAAGTTCGGTTTACCATCATTTCACTGAAGGGTGATTCATGATCATAGCCGAAAAGAATAAATTTCAAGCTCGCCGAGAGTTAATTAGTAGATCTAAATATGCTGTTCCCGTCTCACTGACGTAAACATTGATTCGCTTTGATCTATGTACAGGTTCGAACTGTATATGACAGATTGAACAGCGGGCGTGTGAACAATATAGACTACCACTGTAGTACTCAGCACCTTGCGACACGTGCGCATCATCATCGTCATACGGCTTCCGATGTACATTTCTGATACAGCCCATTTGTGAACATCTAAAAAAAAATGCCTGTGACATCCTATAGATATAGGTCCATCAGTGACGGCATGGCTTCTTCGAAATGGTTCTTGCGAGTTGCTTCTTCTGCGCACCAGAACCACCATCTGCAGAGAATTGCCAGCACGTTTGGAAGTTTGCTCTTCTTCCCACGTGTAATCAGGTTTTTTTTTTTTTTCTCGTGAATAACCTTCGTTGCAAACGTCATGGTGTAGAGAGAAAAACCGCGCATACGGTGAACCAAATGGGGTGCAAAGAGTCCGGTTACACGCGTGTGGAGTGAACGAAAAGAACGAGCATCAATCCTCTTCAGTAGGTTCCCCCCTACCTTATTTCAAAAGTATTGCCTTTTGTTCTTCCGTCCTACCAAAAAAAAAAAAACACATTTCACGGCGAGGCTTTCTCCTCGCAGGGGCATCCGAAGCCCAAGACTTCAAACGAAAAGAAAAAACCGAAGGAAAAAAACAGACGAGCAACAAAAAAAAATGAAATAAAACTGCCGGATCAGTGACGGCATGGCTTCTTCGAAATGGTTCTTGCGAGTTGCTTCTTCTGCGCACCAGAACCACCATCTGCAGAGAATTGCCAGCACGTTTGGAAGTTTGCTCTTCTTCCCACGTGTATCTAGGTTTTTTTTTTTTTTTTTCTCGTGAATAACCTTCGTTGCAAACGGCCATGGTGTAGAGAGAAAAACCGCGCATACGGTGGAACCAAATGGGGTGCAAGAGTCCGGGTTACACGCGTGTGGAGTGAACGAAAAGAACGAGCATCAATCCTCTTCAAGTATTTTCCCCCTACCTTATTTCAAAAGTATTGCCTTTTGTTCTTCCGTCCTACCAAAAAAAAAAAACACATTTCACGGCGAGGCTTTCTCACGCAAGGGGCATCCGAAGCCCAAGACTTCAAACGAAAAAGAAAAAACCGAAGGAAAAAAACAGACGAGCAACAAAAAAAATGAAATAAACTGGCCGGATCTATCACTGTGCGCCCTGCTATCGCTTTCGCAAAGGCGGGTTGCACATGGGGAGGTGAGAGGAAGAGACGCACGCAAACCCCCGGGGTGCTGCAGTGCAGCCCATCTTCCATCTGTATCGCGCAAGGCGTTGTCTCCTCCTCCTCCACCTCTTCTCCCACGGACGATAGGAGACGCGAAGGCCGACGCTGGCCCCGATCCCTGGGGTAACGTACCCCGGTCCTCGCCATCGCCTCCGAGAGACCGCGGCGCTTCCATTGATAGAGGTCACACGATGCTCTCGTCTCGGTGGTGCCCCCCACCCGCATCCTCTCTATATCAACGACGCTCCAGTGTTAGGTTTCCTAAGCGGCACGCTTCTACTTTCCTCTCAGTTCCTCGCTCTTCAGCCTGAAGCCAGTTTTGCCCTGCTCCTTCTATCACTCGTCTTACGTGCGAACCTAACTTTCCGTTCGTCCAAGGCCCGAACACGTTGCACCGCTTAGCCGGAGCACCTGCCTATTTATCTTTGCCTTAGGTTGTTTGAGAATGGGACCAGTTCTTGGGGAGAAGGGGGGGGGGGGGGAATCCACCCTGCATATAACATCCGCCGCGGGCTTCTGCTACCGTCGGCGTCCGATAAGGGGTTGACATTGAGTGTCGGCCGGCCGGTTTCTCGTACTGGTCAAGCCGAGCGTCATGCACGTTCCTCGTTCCGATGCCCGAGAGCGTCTCCGTGTAATGCGTGCGGCTGCCGTTCGTTCACCTGGGCCAGCTTTGACGTGGCGGCCACCGCGAGGACAGGAACCTATTACGCGGACGGGTTAAAGACACTAGATCGGCACTCGAGAAGGAAGACGCTTTCCGCATCCGTGCGTGTCGTGCATGCGATAGAGTGACACAGAGGGGGGAAAACTTTTTATTGGTAGAAGGATAGTGATCTTCCTCGAAGGGTGAAGTTCATACAGTGCAGAGCCTGTTTGGCTCCCACCGCTCCACGTGCCCGCTGTATCAGTCTACGCTCTTCTTGTGGCTCTGAGCTGGTTAGCGCCGTCTCCCGAGAGGAATGTGATGGTGCGATAGACTATCTCGCTTCTGGTGTGTCTGATTAACGCTGGGTGATATCAAGTCAAACAACCGAGTCGTTTTTTATGTTTTCGGACCAATATAGTTTTGACTATATATCATAGAAGAACCATTCAACCAGCGATAACTGGCTAGGCCGTCAAACCACTGAACGAAGTTTTTTTTCCTGTAGGCTCATTCTCATTGTATAAAAAGAGCCGTGGGTGTATTTAAATTGGATTGAACTTCTAATTGGAATATACCATAACGGTCCACTTAGGCGTTTAGTCTCTTGATATCTCCCATTTATTCATTACATTTCTAATATTTAAGTGGCTCTTGCCAAGCTACCTTCCAGGAGATGTTACGGGGTATATTTGTTACCGGGGTATATTTGTTACCGGGGTATAAGTTTTATGGAATCTCGCCCAATGGAAAAGCATGAGAAAGCTCCAATATGTGATCGTGATAAACATGACGCCCATAGCGTGCGATTATTTCGCTTACATTTGAGTGCCGTGGCTATATTCGGCTTCACGAAGGGCTCTTTGATAGCAGCCTCTACCGTTACTCGTATCATAGAGGTAAAAACGCCTCGTATCGTTGATTGCGCCGTTGCTCGCCATCTTGTCATTACGTCGCTCCGCTCACTGGCGTGCAACAACCACTGCCGGATCTTCCTAATTTCAGGCTCCGCTGACGAGGATGGCCGCCGAATTGTCGATATCACTGCCTCGCCCACAAGAGCACATAATCCGGTCGTGCAAACAGCCCTTCCACGCACTTCCCTGTACTAGTGGTCGCCATCGATATCGCGATGAGGTTCTG